TGAGCTGATTGATCAAAACGCTTCATTACCACCTCGCTACATTGGCTTTTCCTTGGTTGACCAGTAGATCTTCGACGTTCCCATTCGCCTCTTGATGCCAATCGCGCTGAGTTGACTATTATATCACTGTAAAGTATTCCGAGATTTGGAAGGTCGGCTTTTGGTAACAGAAATAGTTTCCGGTAGCGTTATTGACAGCTTTTGGGCTGGCCCAGTAGCTTTTTACCTGCATGTCTGACAGAAGGTTCGAACAAAGATTTCGAAGCCAGAACTAAAAGGTAAGGTAAGACTTCTGTCAATGATTGTGAATATTTAGTGGACGTTCAATAGACTTGATTATTCGAACCAGTTTGCTGTCCGTCGGAGGGAACAATCCATGTTGAGGCCTAGATATCTGCTGGTTGACCGAAGACCGGAGCAATAAGATCAGAAGCATTATTGTATATTATACTGGCATTATTTGTAGAACTTTTCTGTAGATTACATGGTCAAGCTGATGTGTAGTTAACTTTTTATATTGACTTACACTCGGATGATCAATAAATCTTTGACTAACCGTCCATCTTGCAATGTCTCTCGGGTTGAAATAGAGTTGGTTAATATTTACGTGAAATAGTACCCCGAGTTCTGGGGATTTGTCACCTGGCTAGAGCAAATTTCTCTGGTACCGTAATTGACACCTTTCTTATTTTGAAATCAGTGTGGAAGTCTGCTGTAATCAGCATGAAGAACAGAGTTCATATTTTCATCATTAACGTCAATTCAGTTCTTCTGCATAGTTCATGGGCTTGACGTATCCAACGGGTTTCAGATATTTATCAACAACTACCTTTTCTCATTAGCGAAGATCAAATGAAACTGCAACAAAGAAAGATTCGCGTGACTGCGAAATCTCGTGCCAGAAATTTACACAAAATCCTTCTTTCCACACCCATTTCTTATTCTTGCTTTCACTGAACAAGGAAAAACAAGCATTTGAACCGCTGTTGCTGTCCAAGTTCAAGACAAACCAGCTGGTGACAGCATCCTCCAGAAATAATGGAACTAGCTTATAGTCCTTCCAGTTTCTCATCCTCTAATCCCATTAAAATGACTGGCATTGTTTTTGTCCCATTTTCCCGCTGTCCTACGCCTAATTTTCGAGTGTAAGTGTAGCAGCTGATAACATGCAACAAAAAAAGAACTCCTCGACTTCAACGGGACAGACAAACCAAAACAGCAAATTTTTCCAAAGAGAGTTACAAGATACTTGGATTTCAAAGACACTGCAAAATTGTTCTATTGGAGAAACACATCCAATAAATGCAGCAGAATTTTTCAAAGGCAAATAGTACAGTGGATGACAGTTAATGAAGGTGCATCCTAAGACGAAAATAAAACATTCTGAGTTTTGAAAAACGTCCAGTTTGCACTGAAATGCACGTAAAATTTATTTTGGCGGTATCTTCCTAAATGTAAAAGCAACCTTTAAGGACAGTTCGGTAAATGTGTTTATATAATTGACTTTGTACTCATACTTTCCATCTTAATTGATCAATCTGCCCATCTCAGCTTTCCAAAGAAGGGTATCTGTTGTGTGCCTTATCTGTGTGATATTATCCATTTTCAAAACCTGTCTATGTAACTGTGTGCATAGACTTCTTCGCTAGTTCGGAGTTTCAAGAAGCCTACGAAACGACTAAAAATTGGCTGTCCCTGACTCAGTTTCCGCTTGAAAACAACAAGTTAACGAAGTAATATCTTCGAATCGAGCAAGAAAGATGATCTCCCTGGCACTAAATTTTGTTGACAACTAGAAATTGTTGAAGGATACTTACGCCTACTTTTATTTATTAAAGTGAATCATGCTGAAAATAATGGTTTTTCATGCATACACTCAGCTGCACTGATGTTCACCTAAGTATAGTAACTACCCTGTATCAAAGTGACGTAATTATCAACCAACACATGCAACAGAAGTGACCCAACGCAAATACCGCAGATATAGAAGATATCATTAGCAGTCAAATCTGAGGATAATAATGTTAAAATGTATTCAATTCATATTATAACGTTTAAACAAGTTATTTATTTTACTTTGAAAACATCTTACTGTACTTAATTGGTAGAGCTAATATCATTTTCGAATGTGCTTTATTTTATACTGATTTTACTCAAATTTCTAATCAATTTTTACTCATGTATATAAATGAAGCAAGGAAGTTTTGAGCGCCTTGATATGATTATGAGCAATAATTTGCGCTCAAAACGTCATCAGTTAATACTACCGTATAACAAACACTATGTGACTTTATCAGGGTAAAACTTTATCCATTATGGAGTTATACCCTGTCACAGTGCCCAGGTTTTATCCTTGTATCAGTAAGCACCAGCGGATGTGATTTCAGCCAAGTTGTTGTGAGGAGGGTAAAGTTTGCGTATGAGGCTCATTTGTGTCATGTGTGCCATTTAAGTGCATGGTTTAGTGCTAAGTCAATAGCTCGTTTGGCCCTTAAAATTCCCAAATGCCGATGGGGCAAATAAAATTTTATCTCGACGTCTGCGGTTATACTGAAGGAGTTCGGATGGTTATTGTCATAAATGATCATATTTTATCAACCTTAACATGATTGATCTATTCGAATATTTAACGGCTTTTTAGTATCTCCCCGCGGATCGGTATAGTACCCACTCCTTGAATTTCCGGTTGTGTACTTGCTTCGCTTCTGGATAACACGCCAGCTGGTCCCATACCGTATTTCAGCTGAGGTATGAAACGCGAAACATATCAACATCAAAGCTTGCATGGATCTAGTGGAGTGAACACAGTATTCCTAAACCACTCATAACCACTGGTTATTTATCATCGATTGAGACCCCTTTTGAAAATGTATACACGACAGATGTTTAACAGCAAAGATATTTATTAAATAATCGGGCAATGCTACGTTTGATGGGCATTAGTGCATTCTTGTTGGTGATTACTTCCGGAGATCAGTTTCCACGCCATGGTGGCAGTACATCTAATTCTTTATTTGAGAAACAAACCCATAAGTTTAAACGTACTAAGACCTACCCAGCCTAGGATAACTGGCCAACATTGGACAGTATGACTTGACTGCCGACAGTAGTAAATTTGCAAATGTTTCAGTGGGAAGCATACTTATTGTTGTAAATCTGCCAAATCGGTCTTCTAACTCTTAAGAAGTCCTGAATCCCACACTGTACTATTTTTCTTTCACTGTAACTACCTAGGTCTACCAAAGACTGGATGGAAACCTAATTAACAGCGTAGCTAAAGCCGGAGGTTAGAGCCAACTATGTTAAACCAACTTAACTAGCCGAGAAAATGCCGGTCGGGCAGCAACAACCTGCCCTTAAACTATTATGTCTTTTGCTAACAGTTCACCCTCTCCAACGTACTGAGCAAAACATCGAGTTTCTATCTGGCAGTTTCACAACAACTGTTATTAATATTGTCCAAACTAATTTCTAAGCAAACATAGGAAAATCTATATGTTGAAGACCCTCTTCCAATATCCCAAAGAATTCGCCTGTCCGAATGACATACTGAACAGCACGGATAACACTTCGGACAATGCTCGCGGTTACCCAGATTTGAGGTTTGAAGAAGTCAAAAGATGCTTTCACCTTCTATGTTTGGGGTTTGTATTCTATGGCCAACAGTTGCTACAGCATCAAAATTCACTGTACCTCTGCCAGAGAATATCCTACTTAAGTACAGTAACAAATCCATGACTTCAGTCAAACCACCTTCACCCGAAATAGGTACTAAAAACGAATAACAGAACGGCTGGTGCAACTTCCTTAGTTCTTCTCTTAACATTCACCAAAATTGATTTAGGATAGGGTTCTAAGTTGATAAATATTCTTATTGGTATACTTACTCGGATTATATCATTAAAGTATAATAGTGACTTTGGTTTCCATGGCATCTTAATCTATAATGTCGCAGCCGTAGGAAATGGAACTTTTCCATTGTGTAAGTCATGTGGCACGAACATGGTATCCTCCGCGACAAGTAAGCGTAATTCCTTACAGAACCTAATGATGACTCTTGAAAATGGAATAAACTGTCAGCCTTATAGAATCCCATTAAGTTCCTGGTTAAATGGCATGTGTATTGCATCTAACTGACCACTTAAGATATTCGAAAACAATCATAACACTAACCAGTCAGACACACTACAGTGAAGGAAATAATGAACTGAAAAGTCGTTTCAAAATCAACTACTGCACATGGCTTATTGTGTAGCACACTAGATTTGCGGAAACAAATGGAGCCATGGTACACGCAGTCTGAGGATATATAAACATTCAGTAGATTCGAAGTGGTTTCATATTATTTGATAACTTACCACAAGCATGCCTTCAAGAGTTGAGAAACCCAGGGAGGAATATCTGGCTTAGGTGCTTCTTTTATAATTCGGACCAGTGATATCTTTGACATAGTAGCGTTGTACGGGCAACAGCCAATTACTAATCTTGGAATCAAACGATTACTCATTTTTAAGATATACTGTTAGGATAAGGACTGGGACAACTAATTGATAGCACCTCTCTTAAATGTAGCTAATGTACCTGTGAAAATGGGTCCGAGTGTATTTCCATCAGTTATGCTTCCGAGATTCTCCATAGCACGCCTGATACTGAAAGCAATTACCTGTGTATTAAATAATGCCTTTGGCAGTTATGACTTCCTGAACAGACTATATTTTCTTCGTTGCCTGAAAACATCTAGTTGATAATATAGCAATCACATATTTTAAGATTAAACCGCATGGTTAAATAGCTGGAATCAGTGGTTCTTATGATTCTTAGTTTTGAATATATTTGGGTTACGATTTAGGAAGTTAATTCGTGCTGCTTCAATTACTGATATTTCCCATAAACGTCTGACGTAAGAAATTATCAACATGACGTACTAATAAAATCTTATGGAATTTAAGTGGATTCACTTGTTATCAAGCGTTTTTGTACATTGAAACCCAATGTTGTTAGAATGCTTCACATTCAAGTCACTGAAAGATAGGCGCGTTTGGGCGAAGGCATGGTAAGTTGATTATATATTTCCTACTTCTTAGGCTATTGTAAAAGTTGTTAAGAATAAGGCTTACTTCAAGCGATTCCAAGTCAAATTTAAAAGGCGAAGAGGTATACCACTGGTCGAGTACATTATAAGCTAAAATTTTTAGAGGGCAAAACCGACTATTACGCTCGCAAACGATTAATCTGGCAAGATAAAAACAAATACAACACCCCTAAATACAGGCTGGTCGTGCGCTTCACCAACAAAGATATAATATGTCAGGTTAGTGTGCTGCAGTCTGGTTTCATGTTTCTCTAGATAATATATGCACGTATCGATGGTGACCGAGTATTGTGTTCTGCATATGCCCATGAATTACCTCGATATGGTGTAAAAGTTGGTTTGACCAACTATGCTGCCGCTTACTGTACTGGTCTATTATGCGCAAGGCGTGTTTTGAAGCAGCTTGGTCTGGATGGCCTATACACTGGAGTGGAAAAAGTCGATGGTCAGGAGTTCCACGTTGAATCTATCGACGGTCAAAAGTCAGCTTTCAGATGCCACCTTGATATCGGTCTTGCACGGACAACATCAGGCGCTAACGTTTTCGGTGCTTTGAAGGGAGCCGTTGACGGTGGACTAGATGTGCCGTACTCACCTAGCAGATTTCCAGGTTATGATCAAGAATCCAAAGAATATAATGCTGAAGTTCATCGGTCACGAATCTTGGGTCATCATGTTGCTGCATATATGAAACAGTTGCAAGAGGAAAATGAAACAGATTATAATCGTCAATTCAGTGGTTACATAAAGCAAGGCATAACCGCTGATAATATTGAGGCAATGTATTTATCTGCTCATGCTGCAATCAGAGAAGACCCAAGTCCGGTTGTTCATGAAAAGAAGGAAGTGAAACCCAAGAGGTTCAACCGCAAAAAGATATCCTACAAGGAAAGAAAAGAACGTATTCGCCAAAAGAAAGCCCATTATCTGTCTCAACTTAAGAAAGAAATCGCTGCTGCTGAGTAACTGGTGTATGTAATAAAATTTTGGATCAGAAATTATCTGTATTGTCACTGATGTGTTATATGCAAATATGGATCCCATACCTCACATTAGGGTTGTTCACAGTTGAACAGATACATGTAAGTAGAAGATGGTTTGCCTGTGTAGCGTTTGTACCTAAAGTCTTGATATCTGATTCAGGAATAATTAAGGTAGTCCGAAGGCACTGCATCTACTAAATTGTTAGCCTATTGTCGTGGTCATTATCTACTGCTAAATAGCTTTATGCTTAATACTTTTAAAGGTAACTAAACATTTAAGTTAGGTCACAGAGGATGACACTCCTTGTAGAGTAATTTTATCAAGTGTTGGCATAACTTGCTGTTTTGCGTATTGGGGTTACTTCAAATGTCAATTTCTGCTGTCACATGTACAGCACAGTAACCTTTCCATCCAGATTATTACAAAGGCAATAAAAGTAAGAGATGTAGTGGTAACAGTGCATATGTTTTCGCTCAAAAAAAAAGACTTAATAAGGGACAAGATTGAGGAGAGTGTTATAATAAGATATGATATATTCCGTATGATTGGACGTCATCGACAAACCAATTGCGGTATGGTGTAGAGATGGTCCGGCGATTATATTTCAAAAATCAATTGTTGCACTGAGACTTAAGTGGGAGGAGGTTGCGTGGTTGAGCTGCAGGGCATTAGTTATCCAAGTTTACCGGAAAGCATCTGAACATAGTTAAAAAGGTTAAGATGTTCTTAGACTCGGTAACCTTGCAAAACGTAGACATATTGTCCTGTTATGTTACACATTCACTCATGTTTTGCTGTTTGAAACACGATAATAGTGTTAATACTGTAATTTGAACTATTGCTAGAAAGTGTTTCATTGCAAAGAGCGTCCCTATTGTTGTCAATGGAACTGTGATAGAATAGCCACTTAAAATATTTGGTATGGTAGTGGTCTGCTGGAGTAGATCGAAATATGATAGAAAAGTGAGTTGTTATTTTTAGTTTACCGATAAAACGTGCGACTATTCTTAAAGGTGAAAAAGCTTGATATATTCTTGAATGATTTTCTCGTATTGATAAGGAAGACAACATACATTTTCAGATTAGTGGTTTCCTTAATTTACTTCACATCCTGGAGTTGAATATGATATGAGTGTCAGTTGGGTAGCACGGAATGTTTTCTGGACTTACTATAAATTGCATTAGTTAATTAGTATAGTACTAGTAGGAGATTACGGTGTATGTTTCGGTTGCTCTCAGGGCGGTTACTGTGCAGAGGAGCAGTACATGTGGCATTTACGTGCAGTGACATGGACTTAAACGAAAACAAAGAAATCTCGTGTAACAAGACCTAGATGAAGCGCTCCAGTATCAGAGCTGACATACTGATTAGTAGAGATCTCTCCAGGACGAATACTTATGATCATACATAAGTGACTCCTACTATCCTAAGATAACCTGATAAAGATATTGAGAACATCCTCTAGCAGTAGTATTTAATGTGAACCGACAGCCAATAATGACTTTCCTAAACTTGTCATATGGTGTCAGTAAGTTAACTGGTTGCCTACCAGAATTCGAGTGTGCTTCAGATAATAGTGCTTTCATTAACTTGGCGAAGCTTGAATCTTCGTTGTTCGCATGTTATCCTCTGCTTTCAGTGCAATCCGTATGTTTACAATATAGACAGTTAGGTTTTCTTTACAGCTTAAAGTAATAGGCTAGGTAGTAAGGTCACTTAACAACATCTGCAGCATTGGCTGAAGTTGTAAAAAAGTCGAGGGTGAAAAGACAGCGAATTCGTAGTCACTGGCATTAGTTCTTATCCAACTAGCTTGCGTGATAAGAAATGTAATTCAATGGGAACCGATAGTTGTGACAACCTGAAGTCAACACTGCAGTTTGCTATAATTCCATATCCAATTTGTTAAGACACGTCGAGCGCGTTTTATTGTACGCTGCCACTATTCAATATATAATACTGTCACTACATGACATGAAAATGTGTGGAATATGAAACCATATTCCATCAAAATATCGGAGATACAAACAAAATAATTGTCATGTGACTAGCAAGTTTCGACTGTAACCAGAAACCATTGTTTACATATAGTTTACATTAGGAATCACATTGTTCCGAGGTATTTTCACCTCCATTCTCAAGAGACATGGTATTGACAAATCAGACATCCGGACATGAAATCTCTTCACCTTGTTTTTATTTAAAAGAATATGGAATGAACGGGTTCATCGAATTACAAAATCAAATGGACGGAAAGGGGAGCATTGTTACTCTTCTCACGTTAAAGACAGCTTCACCACAATCAAGATGGAAGAGTCATTTGTCCTACGGCTCTGTCGCAGTAAGCAGAAAACTAAATCGTACCAAATCTCGTAACAAAAATTTATGAAATATCTACAGAGGATGCATTGAACAGGGTATTTTTGTCCTACGTAATACTGGTTCGGGTTGGATATCCACTATCATTCAGGAATTGTAAACAAGAAGTTGGTTGTGAACCTGAATTCCACAAGCGATACACAACAGGTTAAGCTCTTCAAACTCACTTCTTTAGTGCAGTTAGGGATACCTTCTCCGCCGCATCTCACCTGCATTTGTTCAGCAAAATGTTAAACACAAAGTCTCACTACTGTTGGCACATCGACATATATCAGTCTACTCACGAGATATACGTGCCGTACTAGTAGGACTCTATCTAGATGTATTCATAAACACATACCAGTAAGGAAGCCGAGGGAAGAAGGCCGTCTAACAGACAGCTAGATTCTTATTCTTTCTGATGATGCAATATCAACAGGCAATCCCTCAGGTTCGGTACGTAAGGTAATATCAAGTCCTTCTAGGGTACTTCGGTCTCATCTTTGCCAAACACAAAATGTCTGATCTTCATGTGCAAAAGCCACTGTTCACGTTCTTTTAACAACAGTTTCAGATATAACCTACTTCCATTCTTTTTAAGAAATCCATCGGTATATGATATTCCTAAACGTTAAGGTGTGCTTAAGATTATGTAGGATTATTTACCGAACGTTCAAAATATAACATCTTTCTTTTCTCATATACACTACAATGGTTTGTTAATTATTACCATTAGGTTTGACTACTGTTGACATTTTCCACTGCATTTCAAATGTACACCTCTAATAATAAGTCACGAAGGTTCACTTTTACTGACTCACAACTTCTCAGTTCACAGGTGTTTTGCAAACTTTAAAGACAGCTTAAAGAGAAATAGAAGAAAATAATATGAGCGGTAATTGTTCAGTAAATAGGTAGCAAGTTAAAGCGTCACTGTAGTTGACATATAAAGAGGAGGTGTCAAAAACTTGTTTATAGAATGTTTAGTAAGAGTGGAATCACAGTTATTTTCAAATTTAAAAACTTGGAAGGGTTTAGGATTCTGTTTGCTGACTGAAACGGGAATATCCTCCGGGAATGATTTTAGTGAAAGTATCACACGGCCAAGCAGTGTCATACGCACACCAAACATATGAGATAAGAATGATAGACATTAAAAATATGGATAATGTATTGCTTATACTTCTGATGATTGCAAAACATATCAATCGTCTTAGACATCCTCCTTTAAAAACTAACTCAATTATACAACTGAGTGTGGAGACCGATACTGTAGCCATTTTATGTGGAACTTTACAGGATTATAATTATTGTAGTGTGCTTCGGTTGCCTTTGACTGACTGGTTTCAACATAGAACTTTGCAGCAGTTCGAGTCACCACACTCCCTCCATGTAGCGCACAAAGCAAGAGAAGAAAGTAAAAACAAATGCAAAATAGAGACAGTAAACAGAGATATAAGGCAAAAAGAATAGTAGTATCGAAAAACAATATAGTTTTATTGGGTATTATAAGTCACAAGGAGTGGATGCATTCGCTCCATTGAGAACGATTTCGAGCCATATCACCGTTTGTCTGTAGCCATTGGTTTTTACCATCCTGGGGAACACAACCACGAAGTCTACACCTACCGATGTGGCTGGCTTAAACTAACTGCTGTGGATTTCACCGGCTGATGCCATGTTTTGGTTTGACCACCACTGGCTCTTTTCCAACCTGACCCTATGTCGGCTAACATTGCCCATCGAGGAAGGCGGTAGCTAGGCATGCGTAACACATGTCCTAACCATCTCAGTCAACGTAACTTCACAGCCTCATCTATTGATTTGCCCTCCTTAACTAGCACTGGACTTGTGCCTAACCTCAATATTGCTGACCCTATCATACCACTTCACACGGGAGATAGAACGCAGGTACCTATGATCAAGGACAGCTAACTTTTTCATGTCTTCCACTCTCAATGGCCAGGTCTCACAGCCATAAAGGAGGACGGAGCAGACCGTTGAGCAGTACACCCGTCCTTTGGTCCATAGCCGGATATCACGTCTACGCCAGAGACAGTGTAAACTGACATGTGCGGAACCAGCCTTCTGTATCCATGCTGAGATTTCGACAGCGATCAACCCGTTGGCAATGGTTGATGCAACTTCCCAAATAATTGAAGTGGTCAACATGGTCTACCACTTCACTCCTTATTCCTAAGCTAGAAGTCAATATTGTCCACTCCTGTAGTATCACCTTACATTTGGCGGGAGCGAATCTCATGCCAAACATTCGCAGATTGCAGCTCAAGGTGTTCAGAAGACTGCATTTTGTCAGCGTATTCACCTAGAAGGACTTTATCATCTGCGTATTCTAAGTCAACGAGATTATTCCCTGGTAACAAGTCAGTCCCTGGGTCTCTGAAGTCAGTAGTTAGGGTTAATTCCATTAGTACATCTATGATGAAATTAAACAGAAATGGGATAGTGGGCATCCCTGACGAATACCACTGTACTGGTTGTCACCACTTCAGATGACAACTCGCCGTAAGCTCTCAACTCCGACCGAAAGCTGCTACCTTGACGTGGTGGTCGGGCTTGAACACCGCAATGACCCAACAAGCTATACTGGCTGAGACTTATGTCGCTTGAAGTCCTACCATGCCAGAAAGGTAGTTTGGATAGCGGTTAGACAAAAAGCAGCTCCCCAATCCAATACTATGATTCAAACAAACTCACAAAATATCATGCCGGATCGGCCGGGGCCCGGATTAACAACGACCGCGTTTCCTGTTGCTGTGTCATAGGACAGAAGTGATAAATATGCTACTGAGACACACCAAACAAGAAAGAACAAACAAAAACAGGCCGCGTGTGACCGGCCTCAAGCAGTTGTCCCCTGGGCTCTGCGGTCACGCAACCAACCTCCACGGTGTGAGCAGTCGGAAAGTAGCGATCGCCCTCACAATCCGAAATGCACGCGAAACCTCTCTAATCCTCAATCCGAAAGCTCTCGCCTGGCTGCATATGTTCGAGTAGAGTGCCTTGATCAGTGCAATGTATTTTCTCGGTATTCCCTTTGCAACTAAGCATCGCCATAGTACCTCTCGGTCGACAGAATCGAATGCCGCCTTTAGGTGAAGAAGTATAACGACTGTTGAGCCTAAGTTCCAGAATCTGTAGAAGGGTGAAGATACGATCAACACACCCTCTTCTTGGTCTAAAGCTTGCCTTGTTCTCTCGTGTTTGTTCCTCCAGAGCACCACTTAGTCTACACTTGATTACCATATTAGTCAAGCTAATCCCCCTATGATTATCAGAGGGAAACTCGTCTCCCTTCTTGTATATCGGGATAATCAATGACTTACACCAACTGGACAGGACTTCCTCTGATTCCCAGACGCTGCCTAGTACCTTAGTTAACGCAGACAGTAAACTGTTTCCACCGTAATTAAATACCTCTGGAGTCATTTCACCGGGTCCCGCAGCTTTGCCTCGTTTCAGACTAGTGACAATTTTTGTAACCTCAGTTAGGGACGGAGGACCTGTGTCTATAACGCATTCAGGGAGGTGTTGTATGTTCGGTAGGCTGAGCGTGACTGTAGGTCAATTAAACTGCTCCTCAAAGTGTTCTTTCCAGCGTTCCAGTCGCCTATTCTGAGAGCTTATTATGGTGCCATTTTCCTCAGAGATTGTTTCACTTATCGTTTGCCTTTTACCACCTGTTTCCCTGATAAGTCTCAATAGTTGTCAGGTGTTAACAATCGCGGACGCCTTTTTTCCATCTCTTTCGGTTGCCTGCCTAAACACTAGATAACTTCGGATCTCTATAGATCGGTTTAGGGGTTGTACAAACTCCAAATCTACGGAAGAGATCACCAGATGCAACTCCGTAAATAATGGAGTACTTTTACTCCTGGACAAATGCAAAATTTGTCATAGTTGGCGACCACAAAAAACAAACTACAGCAGAAAGACTAGTCATTTTTTGACTGATTGTAGAAATATGCATTATGCAGTTTTCATTTATTTTTGTATTCAGACCCCTCAGAATCTTTCAATCATATTGAAGATGACTAAATACTCCTTACAAGGACACATACGATGTTGATTTGAGAGATCTTACAAAACCGAATAAACCACTTTAGAAAAGTAGCAATTGATTACCTCCTTAGTAGTAACACCTGAGTAATCTAAGCCTAATATACTCACACCATAAAAATGATGTTATCAACTTTGCTCATAGAATAAGTCAAGCTTCACATGCATAATTATTTGTACACAGTGTTGTAATTGAAATAATTCCTATGTATATAGATAGATATAGACACAAGTCAACCGCAAACGTCTTCCATTTCCAATCAGTATTAAAATAATTACTCGCAAAACAACAAAGCATTCAAGCTATGAAATTATCTATAAAATGAAAATATATTCAAAAAGTAATAATAAATAAAAGGTAAATGCATGTAGTGAAGAGAAAATTCAGTGATAATATTATCATACAGAAGGAATATTCATCAAAAGTTAGAACAAGGCTTTATCGTTGTTGGCAACCAGTGAGGACAGATCATTTAAATTAGAATGGATGTTGTGATCTTCCACTTTTTTCTTGACAAATAACTGTCTTACAGCAGATTCGATCTGTTCTAAACGTTTTCGAACACGGAGAGCAGAAAGACGAGCCGACCAATCATCATGCCAACATTCTTGTATAACTTGTGCATAACGGCATAAATAAGCATCATCCAACCAACGTTGATAAACACGCGGTCTGCATTGTTTCTCATCGTAATCTGGACTTATTTTAGTCAGCTTGTTCTTTTTATCTGTTTGACCTTCTTCACTGCTTTCATCAGATTGTCTAAGTATATCGTTTTTGGTCAAACTATTTCCGCAAACAATATCTCTCATCTGTGCGAAAGTTGGATCAGAAGGAACCAAATCGTAAAATGGTATCTGTAGAAAAAAAGTTTGGAATAAACAATTAACGACACAAGATATATATGAGCAAAAAAAACTAAAAATTTGCAATAGCACAGAATTTTTTGAGTCATGCAAGTAGTTCATTCCATATATATGCAATACACAACTAGCCAGCTACACCCCATACAGTAAGTTTATTTGATTAAATCACACAGTGATACAATATTAAAAATGCTATAACTCCTTTGTGATCTTATAAAAAGTAGATCTACTCTATAATGGGATTATACTCTACCAAAGTGCCCCAGTTCTATTTGTTATAAAACTGACTAGGTAGGAAAATTATGCTTAAAGTAACGGCTAATATTTAGGACCCATGAGTGTTTCTAACATGACATTGACGTTGTATAAAGTCGCATTCAAGGGGAGGTGAAAAGGGATCCATTTCATCGTGTTGTAACTACTACTGATTCATTTCACAGTACTCCGATTACATTTTTAATAAATTACACTGAAATAGAGTTAGAATAGCAAAGAACGCATATTAGTCGTAAAGATTAAGAAAGAATTTCAGTTTTCTAAGTACTGAGAATATGATTTTTTTTAAAACATCGATTACACTTTGTCATGCTTTCAAACAGTGCAATTTAATTTCTTAGTCAACGTATCTGGAACTTGATAGTCACTACCCACTAGTTAGTAGTGTCACAGGACAAAAACGTTGGCATGCACATCTTTTAATAGTGTATTGTGTCACAAGCATGCCAATGAAGAGTCAGCCTAAGTATGCATCGTTGCATTGGCTGATTCTTTGTACTAATTTGCTTAGTTTGAAATCAAAACAACATATGGAAGTCTGAATTACATTTGACTATTTGTAGAAAAAAGCATCTCTTAATTAACACACTAAATCAAATAATAAAAATACTCCGTTATCATATATTAACCTCGCCTAGTTAACTAGCTTGCTAGTTTTCTATCCGGTCCCAAGCCCGGGTAAAGAGGGAGGGTTGGGCGTAGGGCTAGCAACTCCACACCGCTAAACCTATCAAACCGCTAAAGAAACTTCAACGCACAGAAAATATATTAAAAATACAAAACTACATGTAACAATCTTATTCTTCGCTGGAATCGGAGAAGCGAAATGACACAGTGGGCTGATAAAAGCCTCCAGGAAGCCAGTTAGCCGACGTGTCTTCTCTAGACGAAAGCAGGAATAAGAATGGGGACGTGGAATGTCCGTACAATGTACGAGGCTGACTGGGAAGGCTACCCAGGTAGCCAACGAAATGCGAAGATATAGCCTAGAAGTGCTGGGTATCTGCAAAAGCAGATGGAATGGATGCGGATTGTCAAAAATGTCAGCCGGAGATTCAGTAATCTGCTTCGGCCACCCCGGCGACAATCAAGAACACACTTGGGGAGTGGCTGTTATGATGTCACCAGTGGCAGCCAAAACCCTAATGTAGTGAGAACCAATTTCATCCAGGATCATAACAGCAAGATTCAACTCAAAAGGAAGGAAGGTTACAATTATTCAATGCTACTAACCTACAAACAACGCAGAACAAGACAAGAAGGGAGATTTCTACAGAAAACTCTTCGCAAAGTTCTGTGATTTTAATGATATGGTGATTTGAAGCAGCGTATACAAACAGAAGGATATACACAGAGCAATATGGATTTTGCCTGATGAACATACCACAAACCAGGTGGATTTCATATCAATCTCAAGGAAGTGGAGATGCAGCTCGCCGGACACAAAGTCAAGAAAGGGAGCAGATGTGGGCTCAGACATCATTTAGTTCAGGGAACCTTCAAGGTGAAGTTGAAATCCATGAAAACAAATGGAGACAGACCACAATTCAAGTCCAACATCCAGAAACTGAAAGACAAAACTACAAGGGATGCCTTCACTACAAATCAGATCACAGCAAGGTCGGACACACTACGTGGCATTACTTAGGACATTTGAGTAGAAAAACATTGGAATTCTCTGAGGGTAATGTTCGAGGAAACGTGTACAACTGTTCTGGGAAGAAAGAAGGGACAAGACAGGGAATGGCTGTCAACGGATACCTGGAAACTAATCGAGGAGAGGAGGATGGTGAAAGAGAAGATGACTCAACGCAAAGATGGACAGCAGAAGAGAAGGAGGAGCTGAGTTTAATGTACCCTGCACTGAACAAAGCAGTAAAGAGGAATTCTAGGAAAGACAAATGACTATTCTACGACACATTAGCAGCTGAACAAGCCGCCGGCAAAATAGACCTCAGAACGTTATATCAAGCAACTAGGTCTCTATATGGAAAGAGATCAACCCAGATGATGAAACCAAGGGAACCCGATTACTAAGGAGGAGAGACAAATAAAACAATGGGCTGATCACTTTAAAGGACTCTTGAATCGACCATCACCTGCAACTCGCCCAGAAATACACCACCAACAGCACGTATAGAACTGCCTGCCAGTGGACACCAATCCTCCAACGAAAGCTGAAATAATAAATGCGATGAAGCTACAGCAAGCCAGCCGGAAAGGCAGCAGGCCCAGACGGAATCCCCCATCCTGGAGCACTCAAAACGGACCCAGAGGCTGCCGCAGATGTGCTCACGCCATTATTGCAAACGGTTTCGAAAGAAGGCAAGGTACCTACCGATTGGAAGAAAGGCTGTCTACGTCGTCAAGCTGCCAAAGAAGGGCGACTTAGGCCTGTGCAAGAAGTGACGTGGAGTCAGCCCTTGTCCATGCCAAGTAAAATACTAAGTCGCATCATTCTGAAAAGAATAAAAGATGCACAACTCTACCCACCAGAACAAGCTGGATTCAGGAAAGACAAATCATGTGCTGATCAAATTGCAACTCTGCGCATCATCGTCATCACAGAACAAAGCATAGAATCGCAGTCAAGCCTCTACCTTAACTTCATCGAATTTAAAAAGGCCTTCACCAGACAGTGTTGACCGAGAAGTAATTTAGAAACTAATTCAACACTACGGCGTACCTCAACTGATTATCAACTTCATTCAACAGCTATATGACAGTGGCACGTGTTAGGTGATGCAAAACGGAAAACTCAGCGAGGCGTTCGAAGTGAGGAGTAAGACAAAACTGCCTATTATCACCGATGATATTCTTAATTGTGGTAGACTGGATTATTCGTCAGACTGTGTACAGGGAGTGAGGAAATAGGAATACGCTGGACAGACCAATAAGAAAGCTCTAGAAGATCTGGATTTCGCAGATAATATATGCCTAATGCCATACAAACTCGAAGACTTACAGGCGAAAACCAACAAACTGCCTGAGGAGGCAGCGAAAACAGGACTACAGGTGAACACAAAGAAGACGGAGGTGACGAAGATAGCCAACCAACGAACCGCAACAACCAATCACCATCAGCCGGAGAGATTTGAATGAGGTTACTTCCTGCACTTATCTGGGTAGAAAGCAAGGCTTCAACCACAGGTAGTCGGAATGGATGTAGATATCAAAGCCAGCCAGCCAGAATCGGAAAGGCAAGATATGCCTTCATCAACCTGAAACCAGTTTGGAAATCTTCTGCACTGCACTCAGCCAGCATCAACAACAAGATTTGGATTTTCAACACAAATGTGAAGTCAATCAGTTCTATACTGGTCGGAAACTTAGCGCATCACGAAAAGGATTTCCAACAAGTTACAGACTTTGATCAACAGCTGCCTTCGCTGACACCATACTGAAGATCAAATGGACAGCCGACCGGCCAGAAAGATTTAGCTGGCTGGAAACAAACCAATCAAGAGTCGATCGCTGAACAAATGTGTCGGAGAAAATGGAAATGGATCGGGCATAATACATTGAGTAGACCGTTGAATGACATCGTGCGCAGTGCAGGCTATCGCTCGAGTGGAGTCTAAATGAAAAACGACGAGTGAGTCATCCTAGGTTGACATAGAGGAGGTCGTGTAAGGAAGAGATGGGCTAGTTTGGGCAATCATGAACCCAGTTGAAGAGAATAGAAGAAAGTGGAGATGTGCTGTTGAGGCCCTATGTTCCACTCGGAACCCAAGGGAACAATAATAGTAATAATAATAATAATAATCATATGTTGGTTCCACTGACACCTGTGTACAAAGCCAGTGGACGCGAAAGATGTATACTGTCACACCCCAAACAAGATTTTAAAAACCAAATTACGAAGCACAAGACATCAGAACAGTTTATGCGGTAAGCCAAAGAGAAGCCTGAGTGTATTTATTGTTTCTAATTTTTCTATGTATCACTTAGATATTTAGTGAATCTTAAAGTTACTGAACAAATCACCAATACCCAGTGAGTCATGAAGAACTGCATTGCCTTTTAAATTACTATTAACTTTTAGCGACCCTTGTATGAAAATCTGTGAAATATACTTTATGAATTATTACTTGAGTGTGAAAATTACCTTTTCTTTCCTGAAGTAGTGAAGAATTTCAGATGCATATATATATATATATGCATTTCTTCACTATCTAAACTCTTTGTAGAGTGATGGCGAATCGTCCGCTTACCTCAAAACCATACACTGAGGCTATTAACGCTAACTATAGAGTAATTCGAAGTCAAAGAATAATGCCGGACGAATTTATATAGCAGTATTCACAGAAAAACGAATTCCATTATGATAACCAGTTAAATCAATAAATGAATAAAAATCCGCAAACCTGATATCCTTCAGTCGATTCACCCACTGCTCCTATAGTACAACGACCCAACTCCCAAAACACTAAGGCCATTGCATAGATGTCTGCAGCCTGATAAACTTCAAATGGCAGATAGTTGCATTGATTTGGATTATCGACATTTTCACTTGACATACATAAAGTATGGTCGACACAGTTCGTTGATGTTGATATATCTACAGCCATGAGCAACTCTGGTGCCATGTAACGTTTGGTGCCAACTCTTGGTCCAACAGGAGGAGGACCTAAAGAAGAAGGACCTGAAAAGCCACTACACAACCTGTCTGACTGAGTCACACTACTAGACATAACGCCACCTGACAAGATTGAAGAGGAATTAGAAATTTGTCCAGCTGGAAGACTCTGTAAATTTACTAAAGCGAGACCCAAATCAGCTATACAGGCTGTCATATCATGCATAACAAGCACATTCTTCGACTTGAGATCTCGATGCGCAATAGCAGGCTTGGCATGCAGTCCTTTTATTTCTGTATGTAAAAATGCTAGACCTGCCGCTATGGAACCAGCCAGGCGCAAGCCTTCTTGAAGTCTTAGTGATTTATTAACTAGAAAATCATGTAGTGATCCATTGGCATGATAAGCTGTAATTAACCAAAGCTGGGTGCACCCGCCTCTTGATATCATGTCACTTGCATAATATGCCAGCAGGTTAGGATGACGTAACAACCCAGTATTGTACACTTCTGTTTCACGAGCCCAACTAGCTTCATCACGACTGGAGAATATTTTGACAGCAACTGTTTCACCTTGACATGTAGCCTTCCAAACTTCACCAAACCGACCTTTTCCTATGCACACAACTAATCTTATATGACGCGCAATAGTTCTCTGAACAAGGAAGGGAATGCCACTCCCGCTCCCACTGGTGCAACTAGTAAATTCGCATGAAGGCTTTGGATTAGTCACGCTCTTAAATGTTAGTTTCTTTTCTTTGTTGCCTGGTGTGATACACGAGGATGACTTGGAATCAGGAAAATGCTGTTCACTGAATTGTACAAGGTAATTAGAGATGTCTTTAGTAAATGTAGCATGCTTGTAGCCAAGCTCATCAGAATAACGTTCGTACTTCATTATTCGTTTCTTCAGAAAGCACTTCCATAACAACATTATACCCAAAAGTCCGCAAAACAGTGCAGAAAGAGGAATTAAAACTGCTGTCAAAATGAGTCTCCAAGTAATACTATTAGAATACACATGTGTAGAGCCTAATAATCCAAAAAGACTTGAATTTTTATTGCAGAGGTCACCATCATTTGCAGAACAACAATACAACAGCTGTCTACCAACTTTTGGATTTCGGCAGAGTAAATCAACTTGATTAGTGTGGTTTGCGAAACAACCATACGACTCGCCATTCACAAATGTCAATGATGAATCCAAATGCAATGAATGAAAACATCCCGTAGAAGAAACGCATACAGAACTGGAATGTGGACAACGGTCAAGCGGTGAACAATAACATGAAACAAGTTGTTGTTTCTCAAAACTTGTATTCATTAGGAGCTTAGTAACGTCCACTCATTAGATATTATTGGCAAATATGATCAGCTAGAAATAAAATAAAACTATTAATTAGAAACACATAATTAAATATTGACTAGCAGCAACTAATAGTGCGTACGGGGTATGAAAGAAAAATCCGAAAGAACGAAATATCTAAAGCAAGAAAGCATTAATTGTTATCAAAGGTTTTGTTCGCTACTTCAAGATAATGGGATCGAAATGTAGTCTACATATTTAATGAGTACTATAATGAGATAACTAAGCAGACTGGTTTTTAACATTACTGGTGATCCATAGCAAGGAAAACAACAAAAACTTTTACTAATTTAGTTAATGCAACTCAATAACCCATCTGTTATACCACAGGACATTTGTCGTAACAGATATGTAATATTGGTTGGAGGATTTCGTCATGAGCTGACATCGGTTAGAGAACCATTGGAAAACCTGCGAGTACTGAACAGCTGTTTCGTCCCAGTTTGGGACTCTTCACAGTGCGCACTTATCGGGGTTCGAGCCCAGGACTTTTTGGTTACAAGGCAAGCTCGTAGACCATTAAGCCAATGGGCCCGATCCAATGGCCTATGAATTCCAACTCCTGCCAATTCATGAAATAGCGTGACCACTTCGCAATGTCTTCTTCGATGAGCTGTCCAGTACTTCCAGGTTTTCAAATGGTTCTCTAACTGATGTCAGCTCATGATGAAATCCTCCAACCAATCAAACCAAATCCCTAAAAAACCAATACTCGGAAATATGCAATAGCTTCTGGAACTTCTTGACTGACTGGATTGAAGTGTGAAGTGAAATGGCGTCAGTTAGAATAGGGTGTTTTATCTAATAAACTACAGTTGCACAATGAAAACAAATATTTTCCAAAACTCTTTAACGCAAAAGGAATACCACATAAATGTTCTTTTATATATATTGCGCCCTGAGTAATGTAAACGCGTAAGTTCATAACATTCCTTGGGATTACCCAATCATTGGTATTTTTGTACAAGCACGCACCGCATATATCATTCACATATACAACCAATTTGTTCATCAGAATACTCGAAATCACCTTAGTTTAGCAGACTTGTTTAGTAAGACGGAATAAGTATGAAAATAAAAACAAAAACAACTGATAGCAGAAGTCACAGGAGTGGCCACCATATAAACATGTGTAAATCCATGTTAACTTCGTCTGAAATTCTGGTACAAACTTTAGAAAACAGTGAATAAACCAATCAAACCCGTCGGTTATTAGATCAGCAAGGTCTTTAGCATTAAGTACAATTAATTAGAGGACGTAGACTAGGTTTTAAACTCTACCAATTTACACCCCGAAAACGATGAAATATGTTAACTGCCAGACAAAGCTTATATTTAGCCTCATTTAACTGAAAGCTTATACATCATTTTGACACACACTACAAGGCTATGTCGAGTATAAACATACATGCACTCTGAATTTGGTCGCCCCTAAGTCCAATTTTACTCTTTCTAACTTATTGAAGATAAACTCTGCAAGTCATTGTAGAAAATGTAGTGCCAATAAATGTTCTTAATTCGGTCTTCAAAGTAATTACAGACGCAGGTATCATCAAAATAGTCTGCATCAGTGCTAATGAGTTCAAGTCATTACACCTGATTTCACAATAAGTAGGATGAACAGATATATATATATATTCACATTTCAAGGTTATTTGATGAGTCGAAGCACAGTTCCCCAAAGCAGCCCAATTTTGAGCACAAAATCTGTTATTTCTTCCATACATACGCCAAGTTTACCAAAGCCAAACAAGTTTACTGAAATTACAGACGAGTTCTTGTCTGTTACCAACTTATCAGAACGGCTGTGATTAGTGGTAAATTCACCCATTATAATCACTAACCGGCGTAGTGACGCAGATTAGTCCTAAGAAAAAGATAGTGGAAAGGAATAATAAGGACTCAAATGAATCGAGATGTAGTGAGAAAAGTCTCTTCGGTGGGTAAATTTTGGGTCTGGATTCCTGAATAAAAACTAGCAGAGGCTGGTTTCCCATAATTCCGATTGAAGTAGACAGTAGAGTTTCACAGGACCAGAAGATTTAGGAAAGCACATCACGCTCCAGAAAGTGGAGACCATAATTAAGTGTTACCTATTTTTTCAGCACCTAAATACACTACTGTCTACAATTAACAGATTAAAACTATAAACACATGACCAACTGGTTTCAACGTAGAACTTTGCGTAGATGTGCAGCAGTTCGAGTTGCCCCAATCCATCCATGTAGCACACAGCAACAGAAGAGCGTAAGAAGAGAGAGAGAGGGAGAGATAATAAACAGAAATATGAGGCAAAAAGAATAGCAATCTGAAAGAACAATAGAATTTTACCGGATATTATAAATCACAATGAGTGAATGCATCTGCGTCAGCCATTGAGAAGGATTTTCAGCCGCACCACACATTTTCTCCAGCAATTGGTTCTTAGCATCCTGAGGACCACAACCAGGAAGTCTGCACCTTCCTATGTGGCTGGCTTAAACAGACTGCTATTGATTTCATTGACTGATGAAACTATGTTTTGGTTTGACACCACTAGCCAACTCTTTCCCAACCTGATCAATCCTATGTCACCCAACATTGCCCGTCTACGACGGCGATGGCTAGTCTAGCGTGCGTAACACATGTCCTCTAATCATCTCAATCACCCTATCGTGCCACCTAACATGGGAGATGGAACGCAGACATCTATGATCAAACACAACTAGCCTTTTTATGTCTTTCACTCGCAATGGTCAGGTCTCACAACCACAAACGAGGACTGAGAGTACTGCTGAGCAGTACACACGTCCTTCGGTCGATGACCGGATGTCACGTCTACGCCAAAGATGACGTAAGTTAGCAAATGCCACACAAGCATTTTGTATCCCTACTGAGATTTCGTCAGCAGTCAGTCTGTCGGGATTAAAGCAACTTCCCAAATAATTGAAGTGGACAATACGCTCTACCACTTCACTACTATCTATCTTTAAGCTAGGAGTCAATGCAGTCCAGTTCTATAGCATCATGCTATATTTGATGGGAGCGAATTGAATGCCAAACATTCGCAGATTGCTTCTCAATAAACACATACACATTCTATAACTACCGGACGTCTAAAATGTTATATTTTATTTCAATGAGGACGCGATAAAACAAATATTTTATCGGTTACAATAAATAGCTTTGATTTCTGGCCCATGGGGTTGAATTTTGTTATATCACTTTCAACCTAAACTAACAGATATTATCATTAGCCTCGGAGGCAATGAGCTGGCGCATGAGAAATTAGATTGAATTAAAAGCATTCTAAAAAAGAGAGCGCTTTCTTTGTGGTTTACGTCGCACAACCGTGAAGTTTTTATCTCAACCATGGCTAAACACATGAGCAGCTACACTTTCCCCTAGAACAAGTTAGATTTTACCCTATACATATTACCCTCCTAAATAATTTGTACCTTAATTTGTTCTCCTTTAAGTAATTAAGGGTTTCTTTCTGACTCATTTGGTCAGAGCATACACCAATATACATGTACGTATATATATGTACATATATATATATATATATATAATTTAGTTTAGCAGTAATACTGGAACACTGGAGTTTTCGTTATATACTGTACCCACCTTTGTGACCATAGCACAGCTGTTATGTGATGAGAAAACTGTTAGGCATGACACGATCAACTTACTGCGGCACTCTAACAAATAGTTCCCATTAGCTTTTGTTCTCCTTTCTTTGTTACTATTATATTGTTGCTCATATATTCTATTACAGACTAATTTTATATATCATATCATGTGGTGCATTGTTTAAATATGTGAATGCAATGCTGTTCTTTTTTATTTCTTTTATTTCTCTTTTTTCTTTTTGTTGTTGTTGCTTTATATTTTTAAATCCTTATAAAATTTATGAGGTAATTAGATGCAATATTGTAATGAACGCTGAAAATTCCATACCTGTACCACAAATACTGTTTGGAATAAAGCCATTATTATTATTATATATAATACCTAAAGTAACATTTTTGACACCGAAGTTATAAACCCACTAAACGGATATTATGCCATAAATACGCGACAAACTATTTATTCAGAAAGTTAACACAAGATTATCTTGAATGTGTCGCTGCGTAACTTACGCTTTAGCAAAATTACTTCTGTTCTAGCAATATGTATACTTATTGCTCTATAGAGCTTTGTTCACCACTCATGTTATGAAATTGCATGTGAGACGCACATGGACAGATGATAAAATATGTACAATAGTAAAAACCTAATAAATGTCATTATCAAATAATTCAACTATGTGAGTCAATAAATACATTTATTCTATGTACATAGTGACGCCATAGATTACACACGAAAATATTCATAACAGCTCATTCCAAACTTTATTCACAATACACAGGTATTGTTTAACATAATTTACACACCGTTTATAATTATCCAGTAAATATGTAGGGTAAATTTATGAAATGAATATTTATTTATTTATTATTTTATTTTTTTATTTTGATTTACAGCTTGATTCCACACCGTATTTTCAGTACAAGTATGGAATTTTCAGCATGGATATCAGTAGCCCAAATTCAGGCCGACCATAAATATCGGGTGTGCGCCGCCAGGGGATCGAACCTCGGAATATGTGCATGGTCGGCGAGAGTCCTAACCACTGTGCCACCGACGCAGTCGGTATACACAGTCGCAATACTTTTGACACCATAATCAGAAATATCAACTCACTTTTAAATATAAATATAGAACAAACAACTTCAGGAATTCATAAGAATTCCAGGTACACTAACCCAGGGTTTCAATATTTATGCGCCGGATAACCTTGAGATGCATATCGGGCGCAGAAATTCAGCATCCAATACCGTTTTCAAAATGTTATATGTTGAAATTATTTCTTTACTGCAAGATGGTGACACTTAAGTGTGAACAGACCTAGTCCACGACCATTTGGCAAAGTCCAACAATAGTGTCCCAAGGATGCGAACGCACGAGTGACCTTGAGCCTACCAATTACAAAAATGAGGAATTTTTGTACAAAAAATGACGTATATTTACAAGAAAATGCATTGTAACACATTAAGCAGGTTATCTTTCTCTGACATGACTGAAAAATGCGTCCCAGTTATAATGACGAGTATCGGTTGCTAAGTTATATGTATTCACCGAGGTGACTAGAGATGAGCTATTTTTGTGAACCGTTTATCTCTCTTATCTTCATGTGCAGTCTTCCCCGAAATCCTTCGATTAAACTACTATGGTTCCTAGCAATAGGACTGACGACTACTTACCAGGAGAATGTAGCCAGTAAAACAAATAAAAATAAATAACCAACTCTAAATCTATCCTCAATCGTAACCCTTACCTTTATCCTGACTCTAACCCTAGGCTTGGCACTAACCCTAATTTCAACCCTTATCCTGAACGTAAACCTAACCGTTATCCTAATAATGACCCTGATGTTAACCCTAACCCCAATACTCACCTTAACCCTAATCCGAACCAGCTATTAACAAATTATCCAAACAGTACTTAAAAAAGGTGATCTGGGTGAAATTTGCTTCTTGGTTGGTGAATAGCGTTGATATTTCAGCTATGATAATGACAGGTAGAGGTAGCCAACGACTAGCACGCACTCGAGGTCACTGGAGCGTTCGCACTCTTTGGACATTACTGTTGCACTTCGCCTAACACTTAATGCATATTTTATTTTAAAGGCTGAAGTCGGTAAACATGAGGGGCATTTTTAATATTCCTATTGGGATTTCAATCCATCTGGGTAATCCGTATGCCATGTGTTGAGCGGACAGATGAAACTCACCTGGCCATCTCCTGTTCATAATATCTTTTTGAATGGTGTCAAATTTTTTCGCAAAGTCAAGGAGGACCACATGGACTGAAAAATTCGAGTTCCAACATGATGTATATACATTCCATATGTTATCGCTGATGAACTGGTTCTCCTAAATCTATTTTGCGCTTCAGAGTGCGCTCAGTTTCCGTCTAGAAGTTTTCTCCTGTGATTGTCAATTAGTTTTTGTAGTACTCCGGAACTTACAGAGAGTAGCGCTACAGGATTTGTGGCTTACACAGCAATTCTAAATGACTTCACGCAGTACAGCTCACTATTACTATGTACTCATACGCATACTCAGCAAACTGAGGTCGAGGAGCACAGGATATCTGCTTAGTAATAATATGAGACTTTACAGGTGTGCGTCCCTATAAGTGCGACAGATATCGAAGGGAGGGCCTGTGGTTACGGAGTCAGCATATCTTCTCTTAAGCGTTTGACAGAGTTTTGGAGTGGCTATGCCCCACGGGACACAATACAAATGATAGGGTCACTTAGTGGACTGCTGGCGATCGGCGAAGAAAGGGTATGTAGACTGGTATCAAGCGCGCACCACAACTTTCTCATCCTTCGTAAGAAATCTTTCTTCTGCTGGTAGAAAAACAAGTTCACAAACAACATTTGACTCACTACTTTATAGCCAGTATCGGTCAGTAATTCTGACAAATACTTAGGTACGATGATTAAGTCGCTAAAATGTCGAAAAATATCTCATATTAAGACTTAATATCAATTCATCGCTCTTACATTTCAGTGATGATCAAATGTAAGTCTGTTCAAAACGAAACCTGCAGTACAACAAATTCTTACAAGACACACTGTCATGTGCTTGCCCTTTTAAATGTCTACCTAACACAAAAACATCATATACCCTTAACTTATGCCCGGTCTGCAAAGATCCTTATTCTCATAATCTGGTCCAGAATGTGACTAATCTTAATTTTAATTTTTCAACTCTGCAATGAGATGAACCGCTGATACTTGTGCTAATAGAGGGAAAAATCTTTTTCCTTCACTTTCAGAGAGCAGCTAAGTAACCATGTGATTCTAGTAGGAATGGGTGTTACCAAGGAATTTGCTACAGACAACATAGTTTCGAGAAAACCACTGGCAAAGGTTAGATGTACTAATCACTATATTCCCTGAGGGACGACCACCTAGTGCTTTCAGATCGAATGCTTGAACGGTGACTGGCACTCCTGTCTTGTGCCTCTTAATTTGACTTGACACATGGAAATGTTAGCCTTGTGCTGGAAGGCAGACGAAACGTGCGTCGATACGAAGAGAAAAGACCTGTGGATCTGGCAAAAGTTGACTACACAATACCATGTTGTTGAGAAGAAGCTTCAATCGGCTCCTGCTGGAGGACAAGTGCCCATTCAGTCATTTTAAGAGTTGGGAGGGTGGTGACTGCTGTTCAGAAGATATGATGGTGGGGACTTAAGAGAACCACTCTTCTCTGTGGGAAATCGCTCTATTTCAATTTTATGTCATAAAACAGTGTTCAATCTACAATTGTACCTGTACAAATGGTATGTCAATCATGTAAATCGTTAATTTATGTGAATAAAATATTATCTTTTATGAACTAAAGGGAAGAGAACACTTGAAAGAAACGGAAAATTTTGTGATACCCCAATAAGCACCCCAATAAACCATAAAAAATATTCAAAATCAGTGCAATTAAATAGTATAACGTCAATCTATTTCCGTGGGTGGTGTTCTCATGGTTCAATATTTTTCGTGACTTAAGTATTTCCCACGAAATGTGCCCCGCACCTCTAACTAGAACATGTCCCTAGAGTTTCCTTGCTGAATCACTTTGCACTTTCTGCACACACTGATTGGAATATTCCATTTGTGGAACTTTCAAAGAATTTATTTCACCTGTAAAAATATGGTTTACTAACAAACAACAAATAGTAAGACTTACCGGTTGTCAAAGAAATTTGTAAAACCAGTTGGTCTTAAGGTGACTCATGCCTAGGGATCACTTTTCCTTATTTTTCTATACAGAAAGAGTGATCCTAACGCTTTTAGTGGATAGTGTACTCTCCTGTCATTGATGTACACATCTCTGCGGCTACCCCCAAGCCAGAACTTTTAATCATAAGCAGACAGTCCTTCGGTTTATGGACACTGAACAAAACTACGCAGTCACGCACATAAGCTCCCTCTGCACTGTTCCTGCAGAATCTGCTGCAGCCTTTGCTAGCTGGCGTTCTTGCGATGCTCCTGTATGTGACCGACAACAGCGTGGAAATTCAGAAACCGACATTTTAGTCAAAATAATTACACTTATCACTGGCCGACAGGTCGTAGTATTGTAGAAGATCTATGGTGTTCGTGGACCTTTATTTTCGAAGGCACGGTAGTGGGCAAGTGAAGTAGGGCATACCTAGTCAAACACACAGGAGGCAATTCATCACTCAACAGATAAAGAGAACCTTACAAGTAATAAAAAAGACATAGTTCCTACTTTGTCGCTCGTTCTATCCTTCTGAATTTCTCAATTACTTACTGCATTGCAGTGGCCATAACATACCGAAATCTGAAGACCCTACATCAGCCTCTCCCTAGAAACGGATCCCCTATGAATTTTGGCTCGATTTGCTTATCTTTCGGAGCTATGTCGAGTGTTTTTCATCCAGTATGTTGGGGGGCTATGCCGTCAGCTGACGAATCGCCACTTGGACTATCTCCACGGTGAAGATGCTGAATATATGAAGTATATTGACATGGAACAGTTTAAAGTTGTTCATCTTGTATTTTGCGAAGAAATTTAATAATACCATTCGTCGACTTAACTTACTGCTGACGTTTCCTATTGAGATTGTTATACCAGACAGTTGTCAGTTGCTTCCTAACTTGGGCACATCCTACCGCTATCCGGTATTCAATATCTGAACACCGATATTTCTCGCAGAAGTGTGTTCATTTGAAACCAGTCAGTGGGGCTTTCTTGGTCCCAGTTGTCAGCCTTAGCCCATAACTTTCGGAGACTTTCCTACATCCGTTTGTTTTCAGGTCTCTCCAGGTGCAGTTCATATGTGTTGTGAAAAGATATGCCTGGGAAATAGTACCAATGATGAAGTCGGTGATAGTTACTTCTAGCAAACGGAACTGGTACTTAAAATTATGAACTCCTTCATGTCGTGTTTCATCGATCTCTCGTTCGCTATTCTGGTGCCATGGTAGTGTTCATCACTAAGGTTGACAACTCGATATATTCCGCTGAACTGTCTGCGAGTTCCATCTAGGATAATAGCTGACGCACACACTAGCTAAGAATTTCATCTTGCCATGTGGAGACGAGAACCAAGTGAAAATCACACGCAGAACCTGGTCATTTTTAGAGGAAAACTTCTTGAGGAACTTCAGCGAGCTTGCTACGAAGCACCATTTCGGTGAGGTGGGATTTGACCAGGCTCTGACTGGCGAGCAGGCGTTTACTCACCTGCCTCTGGAGACCCCTGCAGTGCAACAAAAGAAGGAAGATGCTAGTTAAAGAAGTAAACTATTTCAACACATCCTGAGGAATGCTCCACTGCCCAAGCAGAAAATAAAGAAATTAACTATTTGCAAATGCAATAATAAAATTTCAAGGTATGTTCGTAGGTAATTCCCTCCGCTGACTTTCCGAGGGCTGAATGATCCCCAACTAAACCTTGTAATCAAATTTAGCTTTCGCAATTTTTAGCTGGTTTTAGACCAATCGTCTTGGCTTAGCGAACACTTAGAGGTCATATGTCTTAATAGTATGACTAATTTTATGGCCAGCTTTAGAAGTTTGAGGGTTGATTGCCGTCAGAGTTGGGAACTCCTTTAGTATTTTCGGGACTTATCGGCTGATACTGGCGGAGATTGGGCTAGTTTCAATGAATGGTGCTCGCTCACTCTGCTCTCAGTATACCAGGTTTCTTAACTGCTAGACGTCTCTTTCAAGCACCTGCTAATAAGAAATATATTTCCATTAAGTTCATGCTGAGGACTTCTGTCAGCCCTTGCTTTTTGGTATAATGCCGAGTGCGGCTCCTGTATCAACCAAGAAGCCCACTCCATTTTTTTCTGATGTGAACGGGTGACTGACCTGGAAACCCTCCTC